CGTGGTTCTCTGTTGTGACTGTCTATTTTCACTCTGTTCTCTTCCACTCTCTCTCTCTCTCTCTCTCTGTGCCCCGTTTTTGTGTTGTCGCGACCCAGCGAGGGATTTGCTCAGCTGCTGGGGAGGGGGGGCCTTGATGCGTGGCGAGCACACTGTTGTGGTGCGCACGAAGATCCTCCCCGAGGAGGAGGAGGAAGAGATCCACGTGTTTGCAGCAAAGCCGGCTGCAGCGCCGCAACCTGCACCAAAGATTCCTGATAATGATGATGATGATGACGATGAAGATTGCATCGCCTACGTTGCTCACACGAGTGCGCCAGTAAATGTCGCCACCGCTCGCTCAGTCTCGCTGAAGCGGCCGCGCAGCAGCACGGAGGAGTCTGCGGCGGCCGCTCTCGACGCAGAGGCGGGGGAGTTTCTGCCCGACGACACGGACAACCCACACGATCGCACGGCTTATGAGCGATGGAAAGCACGCGATGCCGTACGACCTAAGAAGTTGTTGCTGGGATGAGTACGTGTACTATTGAATGATCCCCGTTTCCCATTGCGTTTGTTGTGGCTGCTCCCTTCCCAGCCGCACTGCTGAGCTGTGAGCATGTGGCCCACTCTTTTCTTTCCCTGTTTTTATCTTGGGTTGTGCCTATACGGGGGCTGCTGCTGGCGCTGCAGGGACGACCTCATCTTTTTAAGCATTTCCGCTGGCCATGTCGTGGCCGTCGTGGGTGCTGAATGAGGCGAATCGGCAGCTTCAGCACCGCATAGACCGCGACGCCGATGAGCTCCGCAAGAAGACCGCGGAGACGGTGTCGCAGCGGGAGGTCGTTGCCCTGCTGCGGAAGAACTTGGCACAGGTGAAGCGCCACGTAGAGTCCCGAGAGCGAGCCGCCGCCGAGGCGCAGGAACAGCTGCGCTCCGAGGACGATGATGCACAGGCGCTGCAGCGGGAGGAGGCCCACCGCCGCGCGGAGCTCCATACGCTGCAGCGGCGCCACGAGGAGCTGAGCGGGCTGGTGTCTAGCTCAGCATCTGTGTTGCAGGCCAAAGCGAATGCGCTGAAACAGGAGCAGGCCGCAGCAGAGGCGCTGGAAGAGGCGGCGCTGGAGCTATCCGGTATCCAGGCATCGCGTAAGAACACACAGGAGACACAGAAGGAAGTGGAGCGACAGCGCCTGCGCGTGGAGAGGGTGCAGGAGTCACTGGCGAAGATGCACGCGACGCTTCGCTCTGCGCAGACAGTGTTGCAGCTCGAGCAGGAGGATCATGCGCAGGTGCAGAGGGAACTGGCGGCGCTGCGACGGGATATCGAGCGAGGAAGGCAGGACAGGGCGGAGTCTTCCTTGACGGTGGCGCACCTGCAGCAGGCGATCATGGCATGCGAGGCGCAAACGGCGACAAACGCGGAGGCTTACGCAAGCGGAGCGCTCGCGGTGAAGGCGCAACGTGACCTCTTGCAGCAACTCCAGCTGAAGCGCAACGAACTGCGGACACAGCTGCAGGTTGACACTAAGAGGCTCGACAGCCGCACAAGGCAACAAAGCAATCTTACCGCCCAACTGCACGCTGCTTCTGCTGACGCACATCGTCTGGATGACGACACAGCAGCGCTGCGGCGACAGCTCGCCGCTCAGTGTGACGTAAAGCGGCAATTGAAGCTTTCCTGCGACAACGCCTGCGCGCTTCGTGACGAGCGATACGCGAGGCTGCAGCAGCTGCTCCTGCGCTCGAGAGAACTCGCAGAACTCATGAGAGAGGCACAGATGGACGACAATGTTGCCAGATCAACACGGCATTTGGAGGGCATGCGGGCCTCGCTGCTACACAATCTCCAATATCTGGACGGACGGTGCGAACGCGTTCAGGCGGCGACCGTAACATGCCTCTCTAGCCTCCTACAGGAGGGCCGTACCTCTGAGGAGTTGAACAATAGCATCACCAAAGTGAGGAAGATGCTTGCAGCCGTTGAACGTGACAGTGTGACGCAGCGGCAGACACGCGAAAGGCATCAGGACCACCTTAACGCTTTGGAGGCGCGGCTCCAAGCGATGCAGCAGAGGTTGGAGCAGGCGCGCGGTGCCGCTCGGGAGTGGCAACAACACGAGCTAGCCATCATGGAGGATAAAGTGCAGGAGTTGCAGGCACAACTTCGCCAGGCAACGCAGCAAGGATTTTTCCTGCGCCGGGAAATTACACCGCTGCAGTGCGCCCTGAACGCGCAGCAGAGGTTGTTGGACGGTGCAAAGGGAGGATTGACCGCGTTGAAAGAGGCGGCTGCACACCGAGGGGCAGAGCTGCAAGGTCTGGAAGCAGAAGGCGCATCTCTTTCGGAAGAGAAACAGGTGGCTCTTCTGCGCCACTCGGAGGCAGCGTTTCAGCTGCGCGCCTCCCGCCAAGTGGCGGAGTCGCACGTGGACTTATTGCGCGGGGCGGCGAGCCTTGAGGACATCATCCGCGGGCAGGCGCTCGTGGCGGAGGAGGCGCTACTCGCGGACATGAGAAACGCAGTAGTGGAGCTCCATCTCGTGCGTAAGGCACATACCGGGAAGCAGGCGGAGCTGCGGCGATGCCAGGGCCAGTTGCAGCTACTGAAGTGCCGCTACCAAAGTGTCATGGAGTCGATGGGCCGCAGCCTCGCTGCGGCAGGGGGCTCTGACAAGGATGAGCCACTCGTCACATCCAGCAGCAGCACAACCCCGGAGGCCCTGCACGCGAGGTGCATTCTTCATTCTTCAATGACGCGAGAGCAACTGCGTGAGCGGGGGAACCAACTTGACGCGCGCATCGTCTTCCTCGAGCGGGAAACACGCACTCTGCGGAAGACGTTCCAAGCGTTACGGGCAGGCGGAGGAGGGTGCGGCGTCGCTGCTGCTACTGCTGCTGCTGGGCCGCTCGTGCAGTCGGCAGTGGGGCAAGAGGCGCTTCTGCTGCGCGAGGGTGTGGAGGGCAGCCGACGCGCAGTGCATGCGGAAGTTTGCCGCATGGAAGAAGTCATACGCACGCTGCAGGCGCGTAGGCAGGACCTCACCCATCGCCACAAGGATGCCATCCGACGGTTGGGTGAGCTGCGAGCACTTAAGACAAGCCGCGAGTCAGCTGTGCGGCGCCTGAGGGCACAACTGAAGCGAACGCAACAGAGCGGGGGGAAAAGGCTTCAGCAGTTCGGCATGCGTGGTCATTGAGAGGAGAAAAACCCGAACTCAAAGGACAATGCTTTTTTTTTTTTTGGGAGATCTGAGAGGAGAGGAGATGAAATGAGAACTTTTTTTTTTCATGGGAGGCCAGCTTCCCAATGACTGGGACCTGTTCTTGCACTAATTCTGGTGGTACTTCTGATTGGCGTTTTGTAACCCCCAAAATATCTAAGAAAGGAAGAAACGAAAACAGCGAACGTGCAAAGACAACCACAGACCCACACATGCTTGCGATTATAGTTGCTTCTGTGTTTGTTGGTGTGGCAATGGCCGGGGTGCTGATAGCAATGCTTATTGAATTTCGACGGGTGCGTGCAGCGCGGCTTCGGGAAAGCGTGATATACGACGTTGAGCGCAGGCGGACTGAACGAGTCCGGGTGCGACATCCGGAGGCGCTTCCGCACGAAACGCCGTCGTACCCCGACGTCGTCAACGCCTACGCCCTCATCCCGAAGAGTCAGATACGGCTGCTGAACGGGGCCAGCGCACAGCCGGGGACTGGGAACGAGGAGGGGGAGGAGATGTCAACTGTGGTACAGGACATGGAGGATGAGGAAGAGGATGAATGCACGCTGCATTCCCTCTGCTCTCGCAGCAAAGGAGGGGGTGAAGGCACGTGGGGGCTTGATGCCTCTGGGAACTCATCCGTGTTCTTGCCACCGCACCTCGGCAAAGCGGCATCAATCCATGCGAACGGTGGCCGCTTTAGGGAGAGCATCACCCTCCTGCGCAAGCTATCGTCGCACATCATCTTCGGTAGGGCAAGTTATATGCCGCGGGAAGAAAATGATGTGGACGAACACGATGAGCACCTCCTTGTGGACCTGCCTGGCATTGCCACCGTGGAAACTGACTCGCGCTCATCGTGTATCACAAGCTCGCTGACATTAGGAAATCCGGACTAGGTAGAGGCGGCATCCCGCGCTCACGCCTACAAAGAGGAGAGAACGGAGGAGGGATGAATGGAGACTAGCTACGGCAACCGCAGAAGTTGCCCCACTCTTCCTCACCTCACTCTATATAGTTATTGCAATTTTTATACGTGCTTCTTTCTGGCAAAAAAAAAACATGTTGTCTTTGTTGCTGCTGTGTTTCCGTTTTTCGTCTTTTTTTTCTCTGTGGCAGGTGGGATACGCACGCCTTCAACGTGTGCTTATCCCCACCACCCACTTTGCATACGCGTTGAAGCCTTTAAATACGTACGATTACAGGGGCACATCGCCACTATAAGAATGATCTACAACTCGGTTCTTTCCACTCTTAACGGCTGCGACTGAGTTGGTGCTTCCCAGCTTTGTATCTCTTCTTTAGGTTCCCACCTGAATGACTTTGTGGAACGAAGCGCATGCCAAGTGTGTTTCTTGGGGGGAGTGCGGTTGCGGTGGCGTTCCTGCTAATGCACATATTTTTTCCCCGCTCTCTTCTGCTGAAATCTGAATCCTTTCTTGATGGCTATGAAGTAGACAAGAAAATAGATTGGCAATCTCGGAGTGTCTCCTTCGTGGAGTCATGAAACCGTTGCTTCGATCCATGCCATTTTGTTCATAATTATATAGGAAGGATATTGGAACGAAGAACTCCCGTTTCGCTTCCCATTCGGGTCTCCGTTTTGGGATGGTAAGATGCTTACTGCAGGAGCCACCGTTTCACCATTGTGCTTGCTTTATTTAAAACGCACTTGACTGCTCATAACGCTGCTTTATTTGTGCTGCCTGACTGCGTGTTTTCGCAGGCACAAGGGAGCAACAGTCTATACCAACTAGAGACCTGATTGCTTTTGTAGGACGCCACGTCTGACTTGGGATTTGCTGCACTCGCGGTGACGTGCCGGCATCTGCGCCTCACAACACAAGGAATAAGGCCGCGCGCCACCCGGGCGGACGCTTATACTCCTTTGCTTTCTGTGCCATCCAAATTGCGGGGTGCGTTTCTTTCATGAAACCCCTTCTTAAGGGTTTTGTTTCGCCCATTATTTTCGGAGGTGCCTCCGACACGTGGCTATCAATTGAGTAGGGGATGTTGTAGCCGCTCTTCCAACTCCTCGCTAGAAGATGCTGTGCACGTCTTTACCAACGCGTGCTGCAGTATGGGATAGTTGTCGTTCGTGGTAACGGCTCTCCCCAAGACGCGCGTAGACTCTGCTTCGGAAAAGATGCCATGATGTTGAGACTCGAGGAGACACGGGTTTCCAGATGGCTGATACATGTGGTCAGACTCCTGGGATTTGAGTTTTCTTAGCGCTGCCAAACTATAAAGAGCATCAAACCAAGAATGTCTCTGATGGGACGGGTCTAGAGTGGGGTTCCTGACAGGTAGCTTGACAAAGGCTGTGGCTGAAAGTGCAAAGATGGGAGCACACCCAGGTTACCGTAGTGGTGCCCTACCACCCTATGAAGGACTGCTTCTAAGACCAGTGAGGATGTGTGACAACAATCTCACGGTGTAGGCACTGACAGAAAAGTGTTTTATGGGGGATGAAAAACATGGACCAAGTTGCATCTGCGGACTGCACATCAGGATACTCCTTCTGCTGTGCTACCTACTCTACAACGTGCGGAATGAGGCTGAACTGACAGCGGTGCTGAAGATGACTGTGGGTGTGGCACACAACCTGTATTTGTTTGGCTTCCGGATGGGGGCTGCTACTACTGCAGACGTAAGTTGTGGGCTTAAGAGGTGGGTGGATGTAAACCAAAAAAACATACACTGGATGCGCATTGCTATCTGCGGATGGGGCGTGACGACTGTTGGGCATCATTGGCTGATAGTGCACCAGTGACGTGATGCAAGCAACACTGACGAGGGAATGAAAGGGTTGCTGGGGGTGATGGGTGACTCTTTGTTGTGCCGATGCTCCTTGACGTGGCGTGAAATGACACAATAAAAAGAGATTATGAGCAGGTGTGTAAAGCACTTGACTGGCAGGGGCAATGCTTTGCTGTGAACGTTCCTCTGTGTTCTCCTGGTGTGCGGAGTCGCAGGGATCCAATGCTCAATTTATGGTTGCTAGGAGGTTCTGCTTTATGCAAAAGGAAGAACATGACATTCGGAATCATCTTGATGTTGGCGGAAACACATGACGCTGTGTGAGGTGTGATGCCTTTGGATGGTCATTAAGATATGTGTGTGTGTGTGTGCTTTTGTCTTTTGAATTCCTCCGGAGGGAAGCAAGTCTAGTTGAGTGGGAAAGTGTGTTG